GGGGGGGGGGGGTGCGCACCCCATGCACCCTCCCCCTAGATCCGCCCCTGGGATGTGATGTCGTCGTTAAGGAAATGCACTCGGATATTATGTCTGATCATAATTTGCAATCGTTCCTGCGAGAGGCTGAAATGGCTTCGAGATGCCACCATCCTTGCCTGTTGCAATTCATTGGTGCAACAACTGATGAAAGACCACTGATAATAACCGAGATCATGGAATGTAGTCTGAGGACCAGATTATACAGTCAAGGTGCGTCATTACTATCCGAACAAGAAATAACTATTATTTCTCTGGACGTGGCCAAAGCACTGAATTATCTGCATCAGAAACCACAACCCATCATTCATCACGATATCAGTAGTTCTAATGTGTTGCTAGGTCGAGAAGGTGGCCAATGGAGAGCTGAAGTGTCTGATTATGGCACTGCTAATTTTGTATGTCAAAGCAGTATCAATTACGCGGGGGCTGCAGTCTACTGTGCACCCGAATTCTTGCATCCAGACCCGCGGAAACCAATAATCTGCCAGGTTAGTATTTCAACCGGCGTTCAAAATAAACTACTTGTAAAATCAGCTTGTCTCTAAAAATCCGTATAATTGTTAATACCTTTTTATAATGTCATGAATAACCATTGGAGGATTTTATACGAAACGGAGGGTGTGTTGTTTTGCGAACGTGCAATAACAGTGCAGGTAGCACAAACACTTCTGTCCGCTAGTCTCATTACGCGGTTAAACAATGAAGGAGACAATTAGAGCATGCGCGAGCGCCGTAGGCTCTGGTAAAGGTGTGAACTTTCGCCTCATATAAAGGAGCAATATTTTTGAAAACGGATGTATACATACTAGTTACGCAATGCCTTCGAGTCACGGGTATACCGTGAAATATCCCACAAGTGACTCATTTTTCTTAATGGAAACATGAGCCTTTAGCTGAGTGTTAATGTATACAAAGAAAAATCAAGTCACGAGGGGGATGTTCACTGTATACCATATTTGAACATGTATCATAATACAATACGGTATAAATAGGCTACATTGACAAATTTGTGAATTTATAGCCTTTAATATTCCTTGCCCAAACTCTATTTTGATGGTGAATAAGATGACGACCAAAGGTGTATGCATACTTATTTCTCAACAATATTTCACAATTACACGTCCACAAGAAACACACTTTCTTACATAGCGAAACCGTACTATACACAACCCCTTTAAAACAAACGCATTAATATAAAACATAATATTTTTTGGCACTAATGCTGTTACATTGATCCCAGTATAATGTATCCTCAATGAAATGAATGCATTTGCCAACCCCTTCCTCATTTTTACAAGACTCTATTAGAGTTCCATTGTACAGGTAAGCAATGAAATGCAAATAATACCACTGCATTTGATCAGGGCTGAAAAGCCCAAATTTTGGATCATATGCACGAAACTGCTCCCATAAAGAAAGAATGGAGATTTCATAGCATGGGACAAGAAATTTATCACATACAGTGACCCACCGGTGCAAAAGCAAAGTAAAATTTACCACAAAACAAATTTATGTTGACGACCAAGCAAAATAAATTCACAGCAAAATGAAATGTTACAGCAAAATAAAATCAACTCTTGCTGTTGTACTTGTGGGCCACCGTAATAATGTGCCGTACCTCCCACCGGCAACTTTGGAACATGAATATGAAATTCTTCCTCTTCTTGACTTAGTGACTGCCCTTCATCTAAAAAAAAAGGTGGAAACATTTAAAAAAATTCCCAACTTAAATCAACACCTTACAACAAAATGTTTAACATAATACACAACGGTTGAAACTAGGGACTTTTAGCATCGACAAAGGTGACGGCAGCGAAAACGTCACTTTTAAAAATGAATTGGCGTTTTTTTCCAACTTTGTCGCGTTTATTTCAATTCGCTGAAAATAGCTAATGTAGGCCAATTTCCCTGGAGTTGATTTCTTTGGGCGCACTCAAGTTTAGAAAGAGAAAGAAAAGTTTGTCGTCTCTTGTTTTACGTCCTCCATAAAACGTGAAACTAGGCATTTTCACGTCGTAGTCATGCAGTAACGGCAAAGAAATGTACAAAAAAGCGTGAGGCACGTGCAAACTAGTTGTTTTGCTCAATAAACCTATTGCTTTTTTGACGTTCTCGTTGCCGTCACCGTCGTCGTTGCTAAAACTCCCTACTGACATTTCGTGAACGGAGAGTTTTCGCGCGTGTGTACTAGTACCAAATCTAAGTCAGATGTCTTTTACCGACGTTTCTTAGTTTTTGCACGCGAGTATTTCAGAATTACTTAAACCTGCTAAAGATGGATAGATAGTCTTTGTGTGTTTCAAAGGTGTGCTCTTTTGGTTTAATTTAACGACGAAAGTAGCCGGAGGCCATGCTCTGAGTAGCCAGGGGAAATCCCCGGCCCCCGGCCCTTAGTGACAACCCTGTGGTTAATACGTAGTATGAATTGTTTTGAGCTGTTTCTACCAGCTCATTCTCTATGTTGAGAAATTATCAACTTAAATCTGACATTTGTTGTTTGCCATATTACATGACTCTAAATCTCTCTAATATTAGAGACCTTTAGATTCTAAGACGAGTGTGACTACGAGTGCGAGATTTCCTCAATAGTAAGTAGTGCTCACACATGAACAAGTGTCATTTTGGCGGCAAAACATAAAAGCCATCGTCATTCTATTACAAGTTTTAGCAAGAATATCATAACAATTATTGTTAGAATGTTAATCATTTTGCCATTGGGAGAGGGCTTAACCACCTTCAATAAAGATGACAGTGCCAACTTTTCTGGTGAAAAAAAGTACAATGGAGCTTTCCAAGGTCTCTAATTTTTGAGAATGTGCAAAAAGACTTCAAGTGAAATCTCGTACTTGTAGTCAATCTCGTCCTTGAATCTAAAGGTCTCTATTGACTGACAAGAGATACCTGCTGAGTCAATTTCACTTGATCCTGCTGAGGTTTCTGTACTCATCTGATGTGTTGACACTTGTTGCACTGTGGCAGATTGAACTGATGACATGGAGGTTGACAATGTAGAAGGCATGGATTCATCTTCACATCCAGTGGAGATTTGAGGGAAAGAACAGTTAGTTGATGAGGCAGTGGTGCCAGATGATTGAACAACGTGCACAGACATGCTGGCACTTTGGCCTATTGAATCACCTTGGAAATCATTCATCTGCAACACAGGCCCTGTTTGAGCACCAGTAATTACCTCTTCCACCATTTTACCCTGTGCAATATGCTCTTCTTCATTTGTGACCTGTTCCACAGCATTATCAGTGTTTCCACCTTCTGCAGCAGGTGGGGAGGCGTCGCTACATCCAATTCTTTTCAATTTTTCTTCTTGAAGAATCTCAAAAATTGTCTCTCCAGCTTTGTTTCTGACATCAAAAAAGTTTAGCACTTGGCTGTGATGCAGTGGTCCTTCAACAGCAAGCTTTTGAAGCACATGAATCAATTCTTCACAAAATCGATCATATAATACTCTCTGATCAAGCAACTGTTGAAGTTCTGGACTATCAGGAGCAATAGATTCTTTAGCTTTGATTTTACAGGTGAGCTCCCTGATTTTTTTAGCACACACATGAAGAACAGTGTCATCATTGAGTTCATCTTGCAACAGAAGAACATCACCATCATACTTGGCAAAAAGCTTCAACACCTTTTTTAATACAGTAACCTTCTCATCAAAATTAGAAGAAGGCTCTAAACGATGCAAGTTTTTAAAGAGTAGTATTATGGGCAAGTCTTTGGCAGAATGAGCAAAGTATTGTGATTGACTTAGCTCTGCTTTTAACATGGATTCTAACAAGTCAAGTTTACCAAACAATATAGCCGTGAGAATGACAAGCTGACGCAGCTGTGAGCAGGGGTCTTTAATGCCTATGGATGATTTCCAGCCATTTTTTAAAGATAATTTTAAGTGGTTCGCCAGACAGGTTCTCAGTTTGCAATCATCTGCAACACCGGCTGCCAGCACAAATGGATTGTGTTTTGATGTGCAGCTACTTTCGCACAATCTAGTATGCAAGCCATCAAGCAGATCCTTTAGCGGGATGTTAACACACTTACTCAGTTTTATTTTCTTTCTCGATGGTTGGCTCAGATCTTCGGTTAAACATAAGTCTTGAAACCTGCCTTTTGAGACTGGACTATTCAAAGCC